CTTTCCTGCTGCAGCCCCAGCTTAGCCTTTAGTTCACCTGTGTATTGTAAACAAATCTGGGCCTGCTCAGAAACCAGAGTTCAAACAATATTTTTAAAGGAGCCTATCTTTTAGGTCAAGAAAGACGCTCTCGTGAAACCAACGCTGATCCAATAACCAGATAAAAAAGATTAGCACACTGTTGACCGGCAGAGAAGTGCCAGCCACAACTGGGAACCTTCTCACTTAAACACCAGGAACGGATTTGAGAAAGTCTATTATTCTCAGAGCTCAAACTCGACTCAAGTGAGGTTAAGTCAAGCCTTGGGTGGAGGTCACATTTACAATAGCGCTACTCCCTCGCTCCACAGAAATTGTTTCCCAAGCCCAACACTGGGGAAGCAGCACTGGGAGGAACGGAAGGATAGCAACTTTCATTTCTCCTGAGTTCTGCAGGAGTTAAGCTTTCCGAAAGGCTGATTTTCAGCACTTGGAGCTGGCACTCCCTAGCAACTTCTCAAAATAGAAATGTGAAGGGCTTTCTGTTTTCTTCCATCTCACCGCCCAGCCCTGGCTCTCCCGGACTAATCTTCTGATGTCAGGTCACCACAAACAAGGGGTGGGAGTGGGGGGTAGGGTAGGGGTTCAAGGGCAGTTAACTCTCAATTCTTTGGTGTTTGGTTATCCAAGGGGATGGTCTGTACTCCAACTCCCTGGCCAATGCACTTCTCCATGGTCTCCACCAGTTTCCCCATTTGCCGTTCTGACAAAAACCAGTGAGCAAGGAAGTTAACAGCTGACATGGCAGTTGAAATAAGCCTTGCAGAGTACATACAGTATGTGGATTTTATGTGAACATTTACCCCCAGTTCCAGTTCCAGTTAATGACAGTCTACATTCTGATGTCTTCTCATCTTTACAGTTTTTTTTTTAACTCCATGGATCATTTTTATTTGACTTTTTAGAAAATGAACCTTACTTGTGCCATTTAAAAAAAAATTAAAATTACCCTGTTGGATTACTAAGATCAGCTCTTCTTTTACCAAGATCACCATAAAGACATACCACCATGGTATCTCTTCTTTCTTCAGTGCTTCTTAACCTTTTTCTGCCTCTGCACTATTCTTAAACACAATCACACTCTCATTCATAACACCTCTAATGACACTACAGTGGTTCCCCCAAACGGAGGAAGAGCTACCTTGTCCTGACTCTGCCCCTCCCTGCCTTTCCTGAGAACCACTAATTTACACCCACAAATAGAGACTACAATAAATATTAATACAAGAAATCAGCCAGTGATCTACCTGCTGGTTACTTAAAATTAAAAAATGCAAAAATATATTGAGAACCTAGTAAGTCCTAGACCCCATCCAAGGGATCCTTATATATAGACCACCTCATTTAATGCTCACAACCGCCCTGCAAAGGCTGAGAGAAGTTAGGGAACTTGGTTTTCTCAGATCACACCTAGGAAACAACCGGCTCTAGTGGATAAAGGACTCAGGAATCTGGACTTCAGAGTTCCAGTCCTGGGACCTTGACGACCCTGGCCCTTTGCCTCTCCCAGAGTTAGTCTCCACATCTGTAAAATAAAACGTTAAAATTCCCTCCTGACTTCCATCTTCTGAGAGTACCCAGGCTTAACTGAACTGTGTCACTACAGCTGAGGTGAGGGTCTTGGGTAAAGCATGAGAAAACTATCATCGTCCCCAGTACACAAAATCACACACAAGAAGGAAAAGGGATTCGATACAGAGCTCCCTCCTTTTCTTCCCCAAGAGCCACACACACAAAAAAAGAGGGTGGGATGTAGCAGCACGTGACCAAATCAATGAACACGCCAAAGTGCAGCCCGTGGTCACACACCAATGAAAGAGCAGGGTTTCCCTCATAACTGGCACCGGGCAGGGGCTCACACAGCAGCACACGAGGGACTTTAAGAACTGGCTTCAGCGGTGAGCAGCAGAGGAACGAGAGCACAGCAGAGAGATCAGTTTATAGGGTAGGAAGTAATGTTCCTCTGGTTGCTTCTAAGGAGTCTTTAAACAACTTTCTGGAAAGGCGGAAGGGGGCGGGGGCTGGGGGGGGGGCGGGGGGGCAGGCAGGGCATGCTCCAAGCTGCAACGTCGCTGCTCAGGGTTGAAAAGCCCCTCCAGCTCCATCCACCTGGACACAGGGGACGTGGTCAGCACGAGGGCCCGGATGGCAGCTGAGAGCGCGCGCAGGGGAGGCAACCGTCTGAATTGGGGGCGGGATGGGGACTCCCAGAGACCTATAAATAAACTGAACACCAGCGCTGGAAGCCTTCTGGGCCGGGGCCCAGGCACCGCAATCCTGGGGCAGGGAGTCTTTGTTGGCGGGAGGGTTCGATTTCCGACGCGGGACCCCCAGAGGGCCAAGCCAGGGCCGAGGGCAAGTGTGAGCACCTGGGGGAAGGAAATGGCCAAGAGCTGGAGGCAAGAGCCAGTCCCTTGACTCCTCCACCGCAGGGATTCCCCCGAGACCGTTACCTGGGTGCAGACCCCAGACTCCCTCCCCTCACCCAAGAATCCCAAGGACGCGGAAGGCCGAGCCCCACGCCCCTTTGCTCCCCTTGCTTCGGGCCACGGGCCTTCTAGTACTTACCGGGGCCCGGGTACCAGTCTTCCTCGCCCGCGTCCTCTCCCCTCCCTGCCCCCTCCTCACTTCGCGTCCCCTCCTCCAGGGGCCGCAGCCATGTCCGTTACTGGCAACTCCAAGGGGGTTTGCCTCCTTTCTCGGACAACGGAGTCTCCGACTCGCTAGCTAAAGTCCTGGGCGTCGATTGGTCGCAATCCGAGACGGGCAGGGATTCTTGGCTTCTTATTGGCTGAGTGGAGCACTAGGCTGTAGCCACAACCTCCCCTCCGGGAGCCTGGCGGAATTAAGTGCCAAGTGATGCCGGCGGCGGGAGAGCGCGCAACCACTGTCCATCCTTTCCCCCCCGCCGCCACTGTCCATCCTTGAACGGTCATGCCGTAGCGTTTTCTGATCCAGAGTTCCTGACCAGAGGCGAGGGCACGACTTTCACCTAGGTTAGTTTTCCTATGGAATTATCCTAAAAAGATCAACCGTCCCGCCCCCCGCCTTTCTTTTTAAAATAAGCCCTTTGCAGAGCGCCTGTGTCTCCAAAGCTCCCTCCTTGTTGCTGGGAACAAATGCCTCGAGACCCCTCGCTCAGAGACCTTGGAGGGAGTCGCTCTGGGACCAATACTGCTTCCAAACCAAAGCTGGAGAGTCTAAGGCAATACTGCAGTTTTTCTCCGCAGCTCGGCTGAACTCTAAAGGGAAAAACAAGTTAAAAAAATTTTTTTTTCTAAATAATTAGAGAAGTCGCCTGGGAGACCTCTCTTGGGAAAACAAAGCAAGCCTGTGTCAGTATTTACTTCTGTTTTCCCAGAGATCTAAGTCTGGAGAGTTGTTTTTTTGTTTTTTAAGCTGTTTATAAAACTAGAAGAAGGTCATGGCTAGTCCTGGGAAGTAAGAGCCCCTTCTCCCTGTTAATGAATTTGATTATGTAATTAAATCTCTCTTGCTTTTCAGCTGGACAAGAAGGTGCCATTTTAGTGCCTAATCTTGTATGTTTGAACTGTTTTAGCTGTTGTCTAAAACTGGTAGAATCATGTCCCTTTCCTGAATACAAAAATCTTCTGCTGTTTATCTTCGCCAATAGAAAAAGTCGAAATCTCTCTGCCTGACATTCAAAGCCCCTCATAAATCGACTCAGGCATACATTTCCAGGCTTAACTCCCCACAAACCAAACTACTCCTGCAGCCACATAGATTCACCACCATCCCCTAAGTGCCTCTGGGACCCTCCCACCTCTGCTTCTTTGCCCAAGAGTTTCCCTGTGCTTTGTAGGTTCCTTCCTACCAATAAAATCAATGTTCAAATCCACACCCATCCTAAAAGTCTACCCCAAACACTACCTGCCCAAAAGCCTTCCCTGACTTTTAGTCATTGAAACTCTGTAGCACTGAGCTTTTCTTTGTGTCTCCACTGCTGCCTTTACAAAAGTATGCTTTGCACAGAATTATTTTTGTAAGACTTCAAGCAACCTGAAGGCAGCTGGCTTATCCTGACAGTCCACACAGCACCTTATTTGGAGGCTGGTACCCAGTAAATGTTTGCTGAACTGAACTAGTCAATTGCCTGTATCTAATGTCTTTTCACTTCATCCCAGAAGGTTTATATGGCTGCATTTGGAAGGTTAGCAGGTGTAACATAGTCATCCTGCCCTGCTCCACTTTGTACCCC